TGCCTACAGTTTGATGTAAACAGGATTATTCAAAACATAAAAGAACATTTTGAGAGTACGTTGCGCAAAATTCGATTTTATATGTTGAGCAACTATAAAATGTTAAAATTTTATGGAGGGACACGGAAGACATTCAAAATTTTGTTTTGTTTTGATTTTCATTTGAAACAATTAGGTATATTCTTTTGGATTATAAAACGAATTATGAAATTCATGGACATCTGTTATGTGCGATTATTATTTCATTTACATTTTGTAATTTGTTTGTTCGAATATATAATGACTGTCTAAACGCAGTATGAATATATAAACAACAAGAAGTTAGGAGTAAGTTGGAAATATATGTTCCTTGCAAAATGTTGTTTAAATAATCAAATTTGGAGAAAAAACGCTGGTTTTGATGTAAGTGGATTTTTTTAAATCACGGAAAGTTTAAAGTTTTTTTCCGGCCACGTGATATTTGGTATGAATCATCTGCCAGGGTCCCAAACTAACTGCATGTATCTAAATTATCAAAGTATTTACATATGGACAAATATATTTCGCAGTTTTACGTGCAATCAAATTTGATAATTTGAAGAACCCATATGGGAACAATGCCTGTTATATAACGTAACGTAGTTTATACAAGGTAACCTTGTTGCATATACATGTAAGGATATACATGTTAGGAAATTTGGTAAAATTATCTTGGACTTTCATTTCAAGATGCATTTAACACTTGAGTTCATGGATATGTGTGCTTGCGTGTTTGTGTTAAAAATAAAATGATATTTTAATAATACCCATATTGTCAATCAAATGCTATGGATTTTGGAGGCTACGTTCTGTTTTATATACTACATGAAGAAGGTACGAGACCACAAGTGACTTTGATGTTTCGATTTTTTATGTGAGAAAGTTTTCTTACTACCGTACAGAATGTCGGTCGTTTTACTCAGGTGCCCGTTCGTTCCTTTATTTATACCCAAAGGGGCACTTGTAAAACTTGTAAAACTCGAAAGTCGCCACATGATAATATCAGTTTTATGAGCCGTGAAACCAAACCAAAAATTACCTAACTACATGAATTAAAAGTTATTTTTAAAGCTTCATGCCTTTAAACATTAAAAATTTAAGCAATGGCGACTACATTTTTATTTGTTTGGGTCGTCAGACCAAACAAATAATGGTAGCGAAATTTCAGCTGTGATATGCTTATTTGCAAAATAAGAAAGTAGTCCGAACCCCTGGAAGCGGTTACTTACCTTTATATGTACTCTAACGCTGAAAAAAATAAGGGGGGGGGTCACTGTGTTAAGATTGTCAAATGACGGGCGCATTAATTTCCAAGCCTTCTCGGGAGAAGAAAAAGTAGTTCCCGATTGGTCAAAGATTTCAAATATTGTGTAATTCTTTAAAGATATACATGTAATATTAAGCTCCATGATTATTTACATCAGTGTCAAACGAAATTAATAAGGGTTACAAACCCTAATTTAGAATGATATGGTTTTCTTCAGGCTGTTATCTTATAACTTCCCCGTGGTCGATGGGTTACACGCTCGTTTAGGAAGAGAGATGTCCTGAGTTCAAATCCAAGTTAAGGCAACTCATGTTTTTTTTTTTTGTTTTGTTTTTTGTTGGTTTTTTTTAATTGTTTAAGCCAAATAAACAATGAATTACATATCAGTGTTGCAATAAGCCTTATAGCCAATTTACTACAGTTATGACACTATAAACAACATTGGTGGCACTATACAAAAACAAATTGGTTTACAATCTCACAGCCTTCACCTTTCTGACATTCTGAGACTCAAACAAATTCAGCGCCTTCTGTGATTTGATTTAATTAAAAATGACCATGATATTGCAAAATTGTACCTAATGACTTGCTTATTATTAACAAAATATAAATATATATAAATTGTTATCAAGTAATGATACTTTTCAGCGATTTAGGTCATGACCTTGTTTTATTTTTTCAGGATGAAGCAAAAAGACATATCTTACTTCACTTAAACTAAAAGAAATAAAAAACAACAATAAACAACAATAAACACAGCATTATATAACAACATTTTATTTCTATATAGCGCAACTACCTGATTCTGTGAAGATCGAAGTGTTTAACATACCCTAGGTGATTTTAAATAGGACAATTACATGGAGGTTGTAAATGTTAAGCGTGATCTCTTGAAATATAGTGCACAAATACATATAAACATTAAAAGTAAGCATTATGATACATTGCAAAACAGGTCCCTGGGTTCTCTTTTAGATTAATAAAATGTATAACTATGAAAAAAATCACTCACATTATAATTGAAATTAAATTTTAATATATTTTATTTTAGAATTATTACAAAGACAGAAATTGTGTGTGTACCGTATCTTTTGAAATAACAGTGTGTTCCGTACCATTTCAACATAACTTTATGAAAATATGCTAAAACATCACTGCATTCACTCGATACATTGGACATAGTAAATATATCAGATTTAACATGTATTTTTCTATAAAATAGTGTCAAAAAAAATATGACTTGCTAGAAATTGCTTGTTATGACAAATGAGTGTGTACCGTTCCCCTCGGCCCAGGCTATGAAAAGAAAACTGTACTCGAATGTTCTCAAAAACCATTCAGGGGTTTTCAAAATTTTGATATACCGTGGATAACTGATATAATTACGGGTACTCTGCGCCTTATCTCATCAAAATCGGTTGAGTAATAAATAAGTTATGAATAAAAAACATACCTGAATCGGGAGAAAAATCGGCGTGTTCCGTACCCGAAAAGTCACGTGGTATGGCCACATTGTAATGGTATTTTTAAAAATTAATGTGACCATGTGAAAATATGCAGACGTTACTTATTGTCTCAGGGGGGAGTACCATATAATTCTTTTTATAAACACTTATCTTATACAAATTTGATATGAAAAAAAAAACAACAAATAAAAAAATTCACCTGTCAGCAAAAAACAACAATACAAAAAGGATATTTCTTTTACATTATCTCACTTAAATTTCAAATTCATTGACATAAATTCTCTTTAAGCATGAAAGAGTTCTAAAAAAGTGAATTTTAAGAGTTTACAAATAAACTATTTGATCAATGATTACAATAAAAACCATTCAAGCAGTACTTCATCTTCTGAACATTTATTGCAGTGTACTCCATGAATTTCATAGAATAGAACAAAAAAAATGATGAAGCAATGTTTTATTTGACATAGCTATTATTTCTGCTTTAACATTATGTTACATTTAGTGTATTGTTAAATGGATGTTGCAAGTGTATTGTTAAATGGATGTTGCATCATTTGTTATTTTATAAACATCCTTTTTTTGCCAGAAGAAGACAAAATAGTGAATGCTAAGAGTAGCATTTATTTTTATTGAATTAATTATATAGAATAAATCATAAAGCCATTCAAAATTTTAAAGACATTAAAAATTGATTAGTGTAAATGGTCAATTCAACCACCTGTTTAGACAAAACTGACCGACCATGAGTTTTTCTTGTAGTCAACACAACCATACAGCCTTGTTCCTAACTATATGTAAGAGTCTAGCCTCATGCTGTATGAGTGATTATATATCAATATCAATCATGTATGGCATAACCAAATGACAACCTTAGTTTACCATTAATACAATGACTTAAAGGTCAGTCTAACAATTACATAAATTGAACAGAATAAAAATTAAACAAAACAACACCCCCATCATTTTTCCCTGCTGAGCCCCCTCAACAGTTTTCTATCCCAGAATGCAAACAGTATAATTCATTAATCATGTAGTGTTACACAATTCTGTGTGATCCAATCTATTTCCACAAACTGAAAATACGATGCCTGTTTTTTTCGTCTTTCTATAGTAACCATACTGGGACTATTTTTGGTTAATGAACTATATGATGTATGATAGTGTATAAAGGTCACTGGTAATAATGTGTCTATGAAAAATATGGATGAAAGTGATGTATTCCATAGAGCTGATGAATGTTTTCCCAAAACCAATTAATTACCAAAATTCTGGCAATGGCGAGTGTTTTTAGTCGGGATAAATGTTTCCCCGTTCTACTTTGCTTATGACACCTCTGGATTTATGGTGAATTTTATGGTTACCAGAAATTCCGTATTACTTGTTTATTACTCGAAACAATGTTTCCTGCAAAATTTAATATTTCTTGTATATATGATTACAAAGCGAAAGTTTTGATAAATGTTTTTATATCACCTGCTCCCCCTAATGTAACTGTCTCACCCTTTCACTTAATGGTGCCAGCGGCAACTTTCATTACAATAATATCATATCTGCGATTCCCATGATGCAAAGCGTGTCTTTATAAATCAATTTTGACGATACTTGGGTATACTTCAGACAAGACCAATGCCAATACAGGAAGAATAACACAATTTGTACACAGTATTTTGTCAAAATTTTGTTTTAAATACTTCTGTCTTATCTGATAAAAAATTTAAACTTTAACATGCAGAATAACATACCTTGTTTGGAAATTATAAGCATTTATTGCTAATAATAAAAAGAGATATTAAACTGTTAAAATTAACCTTGCTGAAAGAACTTGCCGTCTGCAACCAGTAGAGAGCCAGACAAGCCTGCTGTATAGTCTTACCAGGCTCTCTATACTGTTAGACAAGCACAGTTTTGTATTTTTATGTCAAAATCCCTTAAAATTTGAATGGACTGTTCCAAATTCAAAGCAGGGAAAGTCCATTATGCCAATTCAGCAGGTAAAGGGTTAAGCAGCATATAGACTGGTCAATCCACTTGATTGTACAGGCTGGTCTCAAAGTTATAAAACTTTTGTATCAGTTCTGTTTTAAATGTCTGGATTTTCATTGGTCAGTGAACATTCTGTGACAGTTTCTGACCAATCAAATACCTGAGATTTGAGTTTAAGCTTAGAGGATTTCTTTATAACCTCAGACCCTGGTCAGGCTCTAAACTGGTTCCATGGGAAAGTTAAAAAAATTCTTATCATAAATTACCTTCGTCCTGTTCCAGCTTTCACAGCATCTCTGTTGAAATTTGTGTTTGCCAACGAAAAATCTTCAGCATTAGCACAAAGAAGTTTTGGAAACACGGACTGTCTTTCGTAGCGGTCAATATCGTCATATGTATTGCCGTACATGAAACCATTCATCAGTGTAGAGTGTGCATGTAAATCTATGAAGAAGTCCACTATCAGTTTCTAAAAATATAAACAAGAGGGTCACGTTGGTCCTATATCGCTTACCTGAGATCAAATTCTTGAAAATGTCACAATTTTTCAATGCAGGAGTAAGTAATACATCACATAGGAAGTGTAATTTTTTAGCCCTGCTGCAATACTTAAACAAGAGGGTCATGATGGCCCTGAGGTCGCTCACCTGTATAAAGACGCCAAGAGCTGGGCCAGTTTAAACCCCAGGGGTTTCATTTGAACAAACTTGGAAGACACCCATTAGAAGATGTTTCATGATGTTAAGTTTTTACTACACACATATAATGAAAAACAATGTCCTCCTCCCCCCCTTCCCCCCCCCCCCCCCCGGTAGAGCCAATTTTAACCCAAGGGCTTTTATTTGAACAAACTTGGCAGACACTCATTAGAAGATGTTTCATGCTAACTATCTTAGCTCTAGCTTTTTGAGTTCTTTAAAAGAAGATTTTTTAAGTTTTTACTATATGCATATAGGGAAAATCAATGACCCCATGGGGCGGGGCCAATTTTGACCCCAGGGCTTTTATTTGGACAAACTTGGTAGACTCTCACTAGAAGATGTTTCATGCCAAATATCTGAGCTCTACCTCTTTGGGTTTTTTAAAAGAAGATATTTAAAGTTTTTTCTTTCGGTTGCCATGGCAACAAGAGTTCTGCATGGAATTAAATTCTTTGAACAATTTTTAAAGGTGACCACCAAAGGAACATTCCTGTGAAGTTTGGATGAAATTGGCTTAGTGGTTTATGAGGAGATGTCATTTAAAGTAAAAGTTTACGGACGGACGGACGCTGGACGAAAAGCGATCACAAAAGCTCACCCTGTCACTTTGTGACAGGTGAGCTAAAAATACTTCATGCAAACTGACTGATGCTATACTGTTACTAGTAGTTGTTTTATTTCATTATTTTGATTCTAAAACCATAGACTGTTAAAAATTTAAAGAAAAAAAGATCATTTCACATTACATTTAACAGACACCATAATGGAGAAGATGCTATAATTATGCCTTGTACAATAATGAAGCAGTAGATTTATATGTGAGAAAATAAAAAATAACCTATTGTATTTGTTTTTGGTTGCATTTTACATTGATACAACACAGTAACAGTATAGATCATATGGCGACTTTCAAACTTTACTAGTGGAGGAAGACCTCAGAAGCCCCTCTGTACATTATTTCTGGCATAATAGAGCACCTGACTATAACCATCGCTTTCTCACATGTAAAATCCAACCATGCTTGCGCAGTTCGAACCCACAGCAGTGAAAGGCAAGTGGTTCGAAGTCAACAACCGTAACCTATTGGTCAGGGATGCCCCACTCATTGTATCTTGTCCCTTACTTTAGATACACTCATGTTATCATTATGTCTACATACAGTCTTCTACAAGAGTCATCCAAAGAGAGATAGCGATGATCAACTATAACTAAACGAAATGTGCGTCTCTCCAGAAGACTTATCTGAAACAACTTCAACAAACCTGCATACATCTTGCACCAGCATTATAATTTTAGCATTCAAACTGATTAATTAAGTGTTTAATTGCATAATTGCTCTTGTACATGCTATCATTATGATTTTTTTCTCTTTCTATCATGAACACAACATAATTTGTATACAATGGTTATGGAAACTTGATGTGAAATTGATATATATATTGTAATTAAATAACCCACGTAAGCTAATTCTCATGTGTGCCATCCTACATTTTGTCAAGGGATTTCAACAAAACTATTTCAGAATGATTGTTCTCAAGTACCCTTATTCATACTGTTGCAATTCTGGCATATTTATGCAGAAAATTTAGTTTGTGACAATTTCCTGTAACTTATTCATAAATTCAAACCTTATGACATTGTACCAGAATTATTGCATAAAATGAGATAATCTGTGAACAATATCAATATAAATGATGATGAATATCAATACACTTCCATTAATCTTTCATTATTTCAAAGTGATTGCCATTAACTTTATCACCCTTTATTTTTTTGTAATGAATATACATTTGGTGAATTTTTTGGTTTTACAGAAAGTCAACACAAATAAGGTCATATGGCACAAAAACAAGAAACACGATTTTTGCGAACGTCTGGTGTAATAAACTTAAATTCTAACAATATCGGACATTTCCCTTATGTAAACAAAGAATGTTGGAAGCATGATATATTTCACAGTATAATTATGCACTCGCCATTCTTATTTCCTCCCTCCATATTTGCAAACCAACACATTGATGGTGCCATTTTGTTTGAAAAATCTGATAAAAAAATTCAACTTTTTGTTGAATTTTGCTCTCAAAATTACGGTCTTGGTGATTATATTACTGCACATCTGAAGTCCATATCATGATATACCATAACAGAGATCACTCAAAATCAAGATCTATGTCCTTCATAATACCAGGGATCAAAACCACCGAACCTGCTGGAGCTAAAAGATGCATAGATTCCTGTAATTTGATCACATTAAGTCGCCTCTTGATCACGCAGGGATACAAGGTGGGTTGCAATTCTGATCCCTCAACCCTTAAAGGCAACCCCTCAGCCACAAGGGGAACATTTACTGATAACATATTGGTTGGGTTGCAGAGGTAAATGCATATCTATGACTTTCCATCTTAACTTGTGGAGGAGAACTTAATTTGCTCTTTGTCACCTTAGTGCAGTAACAGGTTAACTTCTATTGAAATTTAATAGGAGTTAACATGTTACTGCACTAAGGCAACAATATATATTGTTTCATAATCACTAACCTTCATTAAGCCAACTTTATGCATAAAAAAATTGAAATTCTAATGCAAGTTTCAAACCAAAAACATTGTGAAGGTAACTGAAGCCAGTGTACTTAACCACTCAGCCAAAGAAACCTTAAAACATATTCTGATAAAGGGTTTGATGAAAATAATAATAAAACTTATTACAAAAAAAGTCTATGGAAAATAGAGGACTGGTATCATGATGGGATAAAAGCATAAATTCTGACATCTGATATACGAGAACAATAACCACTTTAATATTCAACACATTGCCTGGTAAGTGTCCAAATCCATATGGGACATGTTTAAAAAACACAGCAACACTAGATACAAAGTCGGTCGCATTACAGATGGCCCATAACTTTGATAGAGTATGAATAAAACATTATGTACAACAATTGTAACAACATTCCACCGCTGCCCTTTTAAAACTTCACATGGAATTACCATTGCTGGAGCACTTGCCAGAAACAGTTTCAATAAAAGATGATTAAATGTACACTTCAGACTGTTTATGGGTAATGCACCTTAACTATCAACAAAACACAATAAAGGCTGATAGAGTAAATTACACTGGTAAGTTTTTGTCTAGAAATGGAAATATTTAATGTTTATTGGATTTTGGTTGGCTCCACATATCTATCCAATACTGTCAGGGGAAATGTTCTATTGAATGATCAACACAAATTTGTAGACTTCCACCAAGATTAAACACAAAAATTAAACAGCAGTCAGACACATGTTACAGAGCCACCATACTACCATAATTACTTTAGCTTTTGTAGTTATCACTCCAACATCACCATGGAATTTATGTAACTTTATATAAACATCTGAGGTCAGCACAAAAAATGAGTATTTGGTACATGTATATTTTGAACCAATTTAACTCTTACCATAAATATCCTAAATAGACTTGTCTATCTTTCACTCTGGACAAAACCATTTATAAGTTTAAGGGAAAACTTCAAAACATGAACTGAGGGGATGAGCCAGCTGATCTTGATCTGCACTGGTCACATGGGTATATCCAGTTGCCATCAGCAGACCAAAGGTAAATTCAGAGTTTGTTAAAAAATATTTCAATATGCAAACATGTCATATACCAATGGGATTTTTAAAAAAAATCTGGATATTTCAACTCTGATCCCGATTCCTGATATTAGAGATTGAATTCCCAATATTCGTCTCTCAATAAAAAATGTCAATGTAAGGAATCAAACACAGCATCTGTATAAAATTATAAAATGTAAGCTGCTTCTCCAGGCATTGATGATAGCAGTTTAAATATTGTGTTGCTGACAGCAAGGTGGCATAATAAACAGTTCCATGGGACAAAATGCCCATCTTAGTTGTTCGATTTGAGTTTGACTTTGTGATAAATTAGTCCTACTGTCGTATGAGAAAATGTTGATTCAAATCCAAAAACCCCTGAGTCGAATTGCAGACATCTTATCCACCAGCAGGCTGACACTACTCATATATTTTATTTTCAGAGTACCAAAATTGATTGCATTGTGCTTTTTTATTGATATTGCGGAACAAAAAATGACAGTAGTTATATGTATAAAGTAAGACCACCCTAAGGGTTAGAGAGCATTTGTACATAATGGATATCTTTGACCTTTAACAACTTACATCATGCAAGAAAAAAAAATATATATGGTAACGCTAGTTAGTGTTTTATCATATTAAGTCTAAGGACAACTACATTAGGTAATTGGCCAGGGGAGCTACATAAACACCAATTACCCTATCAGATCCATTACTAGTTTATCTTTTGTCCCAGTGTATACTTTCGTATACTATCAATAAAATCTAAATGGTAAAATACTAGCTCTTAAATGACCTAACCGCCTTTTTTCTGTGAAAGCCAGTGTTTTATAAAAGAGTGATAAGGATTCTTAATCATTTATATTCCCCTCACTATAACCCAATATTGATCTTTCCTGCGAAATTGTTCAAGTAAAGAAATTCTATTATGATCTTCCCCCAACAAATCTAATCTATTTTACAAAAGTCTTTGCTATCACCCCTTCATTATTTCTTCCCATGATGTATTCAACGAATATCTGTAAATCATCCACTGAGTGACATCCTCCTTACAGAGTGGAATTTCTCAGTATAAACATATATTATATAAAAACAAAAGACACTATCCCGTTAATACAAAAAGGCCATAACTCATTTCCTGTTTCGCCAGTAGGACACCAGAATTTTATAATCAAGACATAACATACAGTCAACGCAATTCATTTCCTTCCTCTACATTAAATTTAGTGGTCTGAACCAATATTGTCTCTCATCAGAAAAAAAATTCTGTGAAATTCAAAATCAGAAAATTTTGTTTACATGACTTTTCATTAATGTAATTGTATATGTGAACATGTGTTTATGTTATAATTGTTCATTTTTACCTTCTTTTGTACCATTTGGTGTCATTATAGGCATTTTCCATAACAAAAACGGCCTCTTACTTAAAAGTTATTGTGGCATTACAGGTATACATCAAAAGATGGTAATTAGGATTTCTGCACAATTTGGACCACTGAAAGCTGCACATATGCTATGCATTGTTATAAACATACCAGGTAATCGTACCATGACAGAAGGCTGAACAGGAGCACCCATTTTAGTACAACATAATAGCCACCACTTCAATTATTACATAACCTTGCCCTTTTCCCCTGCAGTTCTATCCGAAATAATGAGAGCTTTTTATTTACCAGAAACAAACAAAAGCAAAGGCTAACTTTAATCCATTTAGTTTGTTTGCAGTTGAATATTGATTTATTGTTTTAATTGGTATCTTGGGGGCAGTTTGTTCAATTGTTTGTCATGGCACAGATGATCAATTTACACTTACATTCCATTCCATACATAACATAAAATGGCTAATGGTATGTTTTAACACCTTATTGGGAACACTTGTTAAGCAATTGTCAAAATTTGAAGGCATTCAATTAACTCCATATGACATATTTTCAAGAAATATTCGATGTGTTTGCCTTTTCTTTCATTTAGGAATTTATTATGTAGTTTTAATATTTTAAACTATAGCATATTTCCACAGTTAACTTGATTGTGATCTAAAAGCTTGTACCTTATTTGAAAGACTATCAAGTTCATTTCTAGCACAATTGTGTACTGGATTTGCAAAGATCCAAATAATAAAGGAATTGAACCCACAACCCTTTTTACATTCATACTTTGGTCATGTGTTGGGGTTTTGTTCACCCTATAAAATTTCAAGGTACAAAGTTTGATTTGTGGGGTTTTGTCCATTTTCTGGTAAAGACTCTATAGAGTTTGAAATGCCAATGCAGCATAAATTCTGAAAGGCCCTTAATCAAAATGACATTAAATGCATTCTCTATTCATCTTATGAATTGATATAATTTCTAACCAAATTATCATAACCACTCCAATAACAATGAATTCAACAAAAAATATATTTCTAGAGAAGAAATATCTGATGAGAGGACTTAATAAGTTTCTTTCAATACTAAAATACTAGAATAGAAAAAGCTTTGATGAATGCAACAGTATTTTTTAGGAATATTTGCAACACCTTTTCAACCACAGCCATTATAAAATTAAACCAGCCCAATGTGATTTATTTCCGTGTCAAGGATTTCAAAGAGTTTGAAAAATAATCAAATCATCGAGCAACAAACAGTGTGACAGCTGATCACACTGTTTTTCTATGTTTTGTAAGTCTTACAACCTCAAAGTATACACCATGAATAGAAAACATGTCACCTAAGGCTATAATTTTAATTTTCCTTTTTTATTGGTCATACCAGAATTTTATTTTCTCTTCGGCCAATCATACAATAATTGTATCTTCGTTCTTGATAAAGATGATACCAAAATTGTAGTTTGTTTTTGATCATTTATACTATAATATAGTTCTCCCTTTCAGCAATAATACCATTATCATCCAAAAACACTTGTGCAGCTTGAACCTACAGCGTTTAGAAGCAAGTGGTTTTAAGTCGACAACCCTAACCATGCGGCCATTCCCTTCAATTAATCACACCAGAACATAAGTTTCAATTTCATCAATTACAAACATGTAATTCAAAATTCGTAACTCTTCTTGGTTTTTTTTGTTTTTTTGGAAGATGTTCTGCGTATATGGACCATTCATTCTTTTTTGACTGGTCCCTTAACAAAGGTTTAACTGTATACTGGAAAAAAATGAATTAAATATCCTTGTTACAAGAACATTTGATATGTATATTGCTTTTCTAGTCTTCAGCTCTGCATTAACATCTTTGTTTGCAAATTCCGGAAATATTTTATTACAAATTTTATGATAAATGTGGGAACGAAAACTAATAATACTTTCCCCCAAAAAAGAAACAAATTTAGATCTGAGATGTTTTGTGTAAAACCTTTTACCATAAATTTTCATTACTTCATATACACCATTAATTATTCAAAGATTTCCATTCTAATTAAAAACTCTTAAAATTAATAATTAAAGGAACTAAAACTTTACGAGAGCTCTTCACTAAGAAAATGATCTTTTAATGTGTATTTTCAAAATACAATACATAATAATTTCCACATTTTACAAAAATAAACCCACTGAAAATATTCATTTATAAATTTATTTAATTATGCCAGCAATTATGACCTACCTATGCCAATGAGTACACAGCCAGCTCAGACTGCACGGAAGCAAAGTTAGCTACCCAATTTTAGTTTTTTAATCATTGCAATGTGGAACAAACTGTTCAAAATTTGGAACAGAGTATATAATAAAAACATACAGACTTACAAGGAAGTAACGTTAAAAATACACAATAAATGGCCTTTTTGGATGAGCGATTTTAATATAATTAATAAACATACATATATTATAATCAATAACCTGAGTCTTAATTAACGACTAAATAAACCCACTTCATTTGCTATTAATTAATTGATGTTTACCAATCAAATCCCATATCAATGGAGATCCAATTTCCGCTGGTTTTCATAAAATGGATGGTAAAGTTGTAAAGGAGCATTCGACACTAAAACTTCCATTTCAAAAATAGGTTTTCATATACTAACAATAGTTTCACGGACGGAACAAATCGGAAGTTTTATCAATATCCATTTGGGACTAAAAATCATTCCTCTAACTGTCTCCCATACTAAGGAGAAGGTTAAATTTATGGATAAAGGATACTAAAAACAAATTAATCTTCTGGAGATTGAAATAGCTTGTGATATGAATGCATCAAACCAGAAAATAGAATCGTATTATTTGTTAACGATTTCTCACACCCGATCGTAGTAGATGGCAAAATAAGTGGGACCATTTTGCCGGGGAAAGGGAAAAAAATTGAAGAAACATTCTCTGAAATTATGTAAATGAGAAAAAAAACCTGTTAGGCTGCATAGCAATGAAAGAGGGCCAGGCAGCTATACTTATTAGTCAATTTAGGAATACACGAATTTCAATAAAATAAACAAACTGATTTCTGCTGAGTCATCAATTTTTTTTATTTTTTTTTTTACAGATTTGAATATCACATCATGTTTTTAACACTAGACACTGCAGACTGATTTCTCTATTTGATTATGACAAACATTGTTCGAAGTATATTTTTTTTAAAGTACAATCAACTTTTAATTTCATGCCTCTATATTTTCATAACCTTATCTTGTCTGTATTTTCTTTTGTATTGCAACCACTGCCTGCTGTAACATTCTTTGAACTAGCAATTTCTACCCAGTCAAGTATGCCTTCCTTCCGCCCAGCACTTTATATTGAATATTGATCATTCCATAATGTAGGTTACATGTGATGGAGGAAAAACTAACAGTACTTGAAATACAGTTTAACATGTTGTGTATGCAGATTTAATGGTAGAATTCTTCCGTCTCATATAGTGTGATTTCAAATCTAAAGAGACTGTGTTGCAGAATGTTAGAAACAGACAATCATATATAGTGATTAGCATATTGAACCGGCTATCCAGAGACCCATGGTTCGAGTCCTGGTTGCAGTGTGCCGATTATTTCGTGTGATTTTTCTATGTATAATTTCACGCCCGGGATAAGTATTCCATTTGATGTAGATCTAGACAAATAACTTGTCTGCAAAATTTCAGATCATTGGCTCACTTTGTTTTTTCCAGAATAATTTTTCTGCTTATGAAAACTGACCAGGCTCTGTATTGTTGGCTTACTAATTCCAAACTTTCATCCTGATGTCCCCAAATTTGATAATAGGCAGTACCAAACATGGAAGGCGGACAACTCCATTTCAGATATGAGCCGTGTCATGACAAAACCAACGTTATGCTTTTGCGACCAGCATGGATCTAGTCCAGCTTGCGCATCCGCGCAGTTAGTCTGATCAGGATCCATGCTGTTCGCTATCAGTTTCTCTACTTGTTATAGGGTTGGTAAGCGAACAGCATGGATTCTGATCAGACTGCGCGGATGCGCAGGCTGGTCTGGATCCATGCTGGTTGCAAACGCATTATGTTGGTTTTGTCATGACGCGGCTCAAATGCAGTAGATTAAGGGTTATAGCCTCATCTAAAGGACTAATAATAGTAAATGGTTATGAAAGTGGGGGCGGGGCGAAAGTCTCAACCCCTTGATTTTAATTCAGACTGTGTTACCATAGTATCAACTATATATATGCTGAGCTTATACTGCTGCATTACAGCATGTGCATGAAATGATTTACCACATACAACACTTACTTCATCTCTGTCATACTCCATGAGGAGATTTTTGGTAGCGTATAGTGTTGGATGAGCCCATGGTGAAGGTTCCTGCCAGTGACGGTTCAAGTCAAAACCCATCAGAGAACACCTACAATACAAAATATGAACACTATTTTAAAAGTATAAAATATCACAAAAACAGAGGCGCAATTTAACGGTAATTCTTTTGGATTATTTTATTTCATTGGCTTTTAAATCAAACAAGGAACATTCCATTATTATTGGTGAAAGAAAGCCCTCGGTTTGTATAATTTGAAACTAAAGTTAACATCAGTGCAGTAAGGGAATTTTAAAACTTGCCTCAGAAGAAAGAATTTCAACATTAAGGAATTAATTTTGAATAATGATAGGCAAACATCAAGTTTTTTTCACCCTTTTTGCATAACATGCTAGTATGAGATAAAAAATAAACTCTACTTAAAAGTTTCAAACAATCAATTTCTTTGTACATACAAAATACTGTGCATCAATACAAATATATGAATTTTGAAATTAACAAAAATTGGACAGAGGCAAAACTACGGGCAATTGTATTCAAAAATATGAATTTTAGAAGACATAGGCAAAACTATGGGTCATTGTATTAAAATATATGAACTTTGGAATTATCAGAAATTGGACATAGGCAAAACTACGGGTCATTGTATTCAATTATATGAACTTTGGAATTAACAAAAATTGGACATAGACAAAACTACGGGTCATTGTATTCAAATATATGAATTTTGGAATTAACAAAAATTGGACATAGACAAAACTACGGGTCATTGTATTCAATTATATGAACTTTGGAATTAACAAAAATTGGACATAGACAAAACTACGGGTCATTGTATTCAAATATATGAATTTTAGAATTAACAAAAATTTGACATAGGCAAAACTATGGGTCATTGTATTCAATTATATGAACTTTGGAATTAACAAAAATTGGACATAGGCAAAACTACGGGTCATTGTATTAAAATATATGAACTTTGGAATGAACTGAAATTGGACATATGAAAAACTTAGGGTCATTGTATTAAAATGTATGAACTTTGGAATTAACAAAAATTGGACACAGGCAAAACTACGGGTCATCGTATTAAAATGTATGAACTATGGAATGATCAGAAATTTGACAACACCAAAACTATGAGCCATTTGTAATCAAATATATGAACTTTCAAATGATCAGAAATTGGACAACAAAACTACATGCCATTGTATTAAAATACATGTATATGATCTTTGGAATGATCAGACATTGGACATAGGCAAAACTACAGGCCATTTGTATTTAAAAATATGAACTTTGGAATGATCAGAAATTGGACAAAGCCAAAAGTAAGGGGAGTTGTATTTAAATATATGAACTATCATAAATTGGACAAAGCCAAAAGTAAGGGGCTTTGTATTTAAATATATGAACTATCATAAATTGGACAAAGCCAAAACTACGGGCCATTTGTCAATGATCAAGAGAGGACTTGGTCTCTCATAAATTAAAGCAGTAAAAATGTATTTAACAACAGACATAGTAAGCAGTATCCCATAGTTCCTCAAATTACACTAATATAAAGTGACAAGATCAAGTAGTTCTGGCACAGTTTGAACAATATCTATTCCCTAGTTATACTTTCCATTCCTGGCAGCTAAGCTACTTTCTTGAATTCACATCATCAATACCTATACCAAAAACTTCAATATTGTCTGGAAAAACTTCAGACATTATTTAACTGTAAACAAGATAATGGATAATGTGGGGGAAAAAACATGTGCTTTCCAGGTTTCACATTATCAATTTAAAGAAAAAATACTAAAACAATCAATTTCCAAGGTAACCAATCATAATAAACTTTTTAAAAATCCAACTTTCATCTCATAACAACAAAGGAAATAGACTATTCTAATAAAAATAACTAGTCAATATTGTTAAACTTATATTCATTAGCAAAAGGCATATTGAGCAAAAAAATATAATTATCAAAGTGTATATGTTTAAATGCTGACAAGGCTGATCTTTACCAACTTATACATGACCTTGAACTTAGATGGCAAACTAAGCACAGTTAAATTGCTTGCTATGAGAGATATTGACCATTGACTTAAAGTTGAACTAAATTTCAACAAGGGAAGCAAAAAAATTTACATTTGTCAAACATTCTGTCTAAACTGATGATATAAATGGAAAAAAATGAATTGATATGCAGGATCTAGGAGAAACTTGTTAGAGGGAAGTGGCCATATAAATAAGTTCACTTTGTGAAAAGAATATATAAAATGATACAATTTCAAACATCCAGCAAAGCTTACTGCAAGAATACTTGCATACCATAAAAATATATCCCAGATAAATGCTATCATTAAAGGCCTTTGTATACAGACAAATCAATTATTTCTTTAAATAAATTTTATGGTTTTTGACAAGACGGGACTAGAAATAATTTTCATATATTAATGTCCCATTTCATGCAGATCTAGACCAATAACTTCCAAAATAGTTTTGCAAAATTTCAAATCATTCTCTTAAACTGTTTTTTTCAGAAGAATTATTTTATTTGTGAAACCAAAAATTTACTCAAAACGGACTAAGAATAGAACAAAAATATGACTGAGAACATTTCTTAATTATCTTTTACATTTCTTTCTGTTTTAAGTGTCCCTGCTAATCTATGTAAGAAATTCAAATTTTATGTTTTAGGCTTTTGGACCTCAGTGGAGTTCCTTTAAGATGACCTTGTTTCCAAAGCTAATTTACTAAATCTATTATTTTCATTGATATATTGCACCCAGATTTACTTATGGAACTACTTTTTCTTTAACAAACCTGTAATTTCCTAGGTAAACTCCATCAGGATTCAACATTGGAACTACTTTAAACACTATATGTTCTCTTAACGTCTTTGCTACAGGATGATTGCTAATGAGGAAGTCTATAAAACCTGCAAAATAATATAAAACATATGAAGTTCAAAGAATGCATCTGCCTATGTAAATAAATGCACCCATAAAATACACATACTCATTTTATATTGAAATTTCAACAAATATTTAACAGTACGACATTTATTACTGCAAAATATGCTTCCAGGTTTTTGTTACTTCAAAAGAGATTACCGGTTCCTCTTTGATTTTTTTTAAAACAGATTTTTTTTTCTCTGATAATAAACTCATTATGTTGAAATTTGTTTTGTTTTTCAATTCTCAAATATAATTGCTATACCTATGCTGAAATTAAAAACCTATGTGCCTATTTTGTAGTTAATAATGTTCTGTCTTAAATGTCTTCATCACCAGTATATATACATATATATTGTCAATATGTATTGTCAAGCTAGATAGTACATTAATGTAGCATCATAAGAACATAAGCTAACACCGTTAGCTGCTTAAATTCAGAAATCTGATATTGAACTCTTCCAAACTTTTCTTGGACTTTTACTAACTAAAGTACAATACAAGACCATGACATAATTAAGTATGGTAAGGGTTAAAGCTTGACTTAACAAGCTGTGTATTCACTTGCACATCTGCTAGTAATGTAAGAAGCCATAAATGGCAACCACCTGTTATATGGCATCATTTTCAGGTCATCTATTGACTACTGTTATATCCAGACTTCTTTAACAGCTTATTGTGGAATTTTAACATTAAAATTTAAAGCTGAAGATTAACATCAGTGAAACAAGATTTGCTTTTCCTAACATACACTTATTCAACCCTTAAAACTGCTGAGTTTGTATAATAAACTTTCCGTCTTTCTCTTACTGGAAATGATTGCAAAAGCATTATACAATGATGTTTTAAATGTGACTAAAACATAAAACATTGTAAAATGTTGCATTATTTTCATTATTTCAATGACATTGTACTTGAGACAACTTTTTATACAAAAGCTTGGCTTTTAATGTGACAGCCAAATTCTATATGTATATTGAGTTTTATATGAATTATAAAGGAATGTAAATCTTTACTCAATTCTACATTGTGAATTTTTGTGCATTTAAGGAAAACTGTTTTATTTAGAAAGCAGAAAGAATGCCAACTACTCTTTGCATAGAGTTATATATAAATCCAAATGATTGATTTAATCAAAAAAATTTCAAATATTTTTCTATTTAGACCAAATATTTAAAGCCTACCTAGAGGCAGCTTCATTAAATTACATAAAAATTTCTTACTAAAGTAGCAGCAAGAATGTATTAGTTGTTTAACAATTACAAAAATGTAACATAAAATAAGATATGTTAACAGTTTTATAGAACAATCTTGAGTTGAGCAGGTAATTAAAAAACAGATCAGACGAGAAATAATCAACCTAAATAAAGTTAGTACTTAACTTATTTTAAAACGATTCAAAATTTAAGCACACATTTTTAAAATTGCTTATTTATGTTTCATTTCAAGTTTAATGTGCGCAGGCAGGAAAATTTGTTAGTTTGGTTTTAACACCGACTTATAAATAATTCTAGGTCATATCCTGGTGGTCTGCCCACCTTTCCGGCTTTCCTGTGTAACTTAAATAATCACATTTTCAGATAATGATTACTCTAATTCTGAACTTCTGAAATAAGTTACCTTCCAAAATCTGAACTTTCCTGGATTATTAACCAGTAATTACCAATTTGTCTGCAAGTGACCTACTACCAATCATTCAAGATAAATGACCACTAGACCCAATGTCCTAAATCAATTGTCACTTAGAAATTTCGCCTTGCCTAAGGATCGAAGCAGTGACCCTTGGATTACAAATATTATTGTCTTCCTAATGAGCTAAATGGTGAACAGGCAGGACACCAATGGCAGTAGAGGTAAAGGCGTGGCTCCAAACTCAGAACAGTTAGCTTGAGGTACATACAAATCATGACCATGATTTAATACAAGAATGTTCTCAAATGTCACTGGTGCTCAGCCTTGTTAAGGTGATGAACTCCATAGTCACTGGGATATTGCATGTTCAATGCTTTTGTTTTTTGCAATCAAGCCTAAACATATATGTATGTTAAACTTTGTCCAAAACTTAAAAATTAGCTTCCTCTTAACATAATGCTTTTGAAGTTTAAGCCTGGCAAAGATGCCAGATCATGTCAACACTAATATAACTGCTTTCAGTAGCATTGCACACAAATGGACCATACCTTGACATACAAATGAGGCGGGTGTTTCACCGGGGTGAACTCTGGACGAGACAAACACAATTCTCTTGCTTTCCTCTGGGTATAGATTGTCAGGATGGGTAATTGTGATCAGATCTAGCCGTCGCTGTTGCTGGTAACGAGAAAAATATACATCACATATAATTACATACATGTATAATATGCCGAGTATCATAACTGTAAAAAGATAATTTGAATTCTATTTTTAGATGCACATTTCATGTCTTTTTTTTTTTAATTAAAAGAGATGTAAGTGGAACAAGTTTGCTCCGATATTGACAATGAATAAAGTTATATCATTTTATAAAATTGCATCAGTCTTAAAACTACACTGTCAATCAGAATGAATCACATTTTCACATACTGATTCAGATATAATTTCTGACAGAATTTGGTAATTTTTCAAAATCAAAACTGGTCCCAGTGGCATACTGATTTCAGAGGTTACACTGTATTCTTCCCCTGCTTCTTGGGAGGGAGGCATTATAAATAATGCAAATATCAGTTAAATGGATAATGGAATAATGACTATGAGCCAAGCTGATGCATGTTTCAAGGGTATAATCAAGAGAATAAAGTTCGCTTATCTGCATGGAAGATACTTTCTCGTAAGAGACTAGATTTATCCTTGGCACAACATTGAATATTAAATGACTATATTTATACATTGTACCTTTAATGCAAAGTTTTTAACATTTTTATACAATCTTCCTACAAATCAGAGCGCAAAAATATCAATAAAAGAAAAAACAGACTTTTCCAACTGAAAATTTAGGGATATTTCAACAATGGTCTGTGACCTATAAAAGAAATATTTCTAGCAAATACATCCTTTTGTTCAGTGTGTTTCTTTACACCAATTTTAACAAATTTTTGGTAATATTTCATTGGTCAAACCACCTAACTAGATTTCCTGGATACCTAACAAGTAGTTATCAATTTCTCCTTCAGTGACCAACCACTAATCCCATGTGTTTCTTATTCAGTAGTAAGAGACAAATGACCATTACTGATTAGACTCAATGAAAAATTTCATCTTGATCAGGGATCAAACCAGGGACCAGTGGATTACAAACCACATGCGCTTCCTATTGTGCTATGCTTGAAAACTTACCACTGTTAGACAGAGGAGCTCTCTGCTAAAGTAGTCCATGTTTCTCTTTTCCAGATTATCCAGGTAGTTCTGTAGTCTGGTATACGAGTACGGATAGCAATATGAAAACTGGTAAACATCATCTTCGCGATCAAAAATAAATGCAAATGACATCACATAGTTTTTTCTGTGATCTGGACATCGATAATAATAAACATGTTTTGCTGGTATTCTGACCCTGTATAAAAATAAAGCAAGAATTGATAAAATTGATACACGTACATGTATTACACTAAAGTAAAAATGCAAGGGCTGTAACTCTAGAATATTTTGTGCATGTCATTTACTGAAATCTTAGAATCAATATTATACTTAATGACATTGAATCTAACATGACAGAAAACATTCCTCAATTTAAATTCATGAGTATATAACTGTATTTCAAGGAAATCATATAAATCAATACCAAATGACTGAAATATGACAATTGTAGTATGTATGACACTCATATGAAAAATTAACAGTAAGAATCTTGCATGGATTTTAGAGTTCTAAACATACATGCATCAACATACATACACAAGAGAGGGATTGGAAAGTAATGTGATTGATAGCTGGTTTAAGTAATTGACTGATGAACAGTTCAATGGAAGAGGCTTTATCAATCTTTAAATTTGAATCACTGTTTATCTACATCATACAAATACTTTAGGTATTAGATAATGTACGTTCAGTCAAGCATTTAAATGTTGTCACTGTTATTTCTACAATCTAGGAATAATTTATTCATGCTGTAATCACTATCTAACTTTCTCTGCAAATTACTCAACCAGTTAATTTAACTTAGATGTATTAATCCAGCATCTAACAATTTCAAATTCTTTCATGCGTACAAGACATCCATCTAACTTAGATGGTTAATATCTCTAGTGCCTGAAATAATGCAATTAAGTAGCATCTGTGATATTCCTCCTCTATATCAGCTATATAATTGCCATATTACAATTATTTAAAAATGTTACGACAAAATGTGTTGCTATAGCTAAACTTCTTAAAGTGAGTTGGTCTAAAATGGAAGGTCTGTATTACCATAAATAATTATGTTGATAGTATTTAGTATCAGACATAACAACAAACCATGAAAGAATTATAGACGGATTTTGTTGACAAGTGTGAGATACATGATCCGATATAATATATACTCACCAATATTACATTTCTCACATAGCAGATAATAAATCATTCCAGAACAAAATATCATTATACATCATATTCAAATGTTCATACTTAATCACCTAAAACTGTATCAAAAAAATTATCAAGCAATATTTTAGAAGAATATCTCAATTGAGCCGCCTCATGACAAAACCAACATAATGGATGGGTTTGCAACCAGCATGGATCCAGACCAGCCTGCGCATCCGCGCAGTCTGATCAGGATCCATGCTGTTCGCTATCAGTTTCTCTATTTGTAATAGAGTTGGTAAGCGAACAGCATGGATCCTGATCAGACTGCTCGGATGCGCAGGCTGGTCTGGATCCATGCTGGTCGAAAACGCACTATGTTGGTTTTGTCGTGACACGGCTCAATTGTTCTTTTTTAATAAATATTTGAAATACTTATGGAAAATGTGCCCATTGTAGACCAATCCACTTTAAAGTGATATGAAGCAGGTACTTGTGACCTTTCTCTGCCATTAAAGCAGGAAAACTGCTTCATCACACTATAAACCAACTGATTACAAATTAATATTCTATTATTAACATACAAAAACGGAAATATTCCTAAATGCTTCTTATTGTGCAGTTAAGCTGGCAGTAAATATTTTACTTCATTAAAGAAGACTGGACTATCAAATTTACCATTTTGGACGACTAGTTGACTTGACAAAGGGTGACATCCCCTCCCTGTACAAGGATTTTGTCTTGCTAAAATTCACCAGGTTAAATATCACTCTCTGAAAAAAAAAAATTAATACTATAATGCATAAAACACATAGCTGACAACATCTGAAATAGTTAGAAATTTTGCAGGAAGCACAACATGCATTCCTTTACTTGATAGTGTGTACCGTAATCAATTAAAAACAAAAACATATTGTACCCGGTTTATATATATATACATCAATTGTGTACATTATGATTAAAGAGCATTAGAGAGCTGTCGGTAGGACAGCAACGCTCGACTATTCTTAGTGCTTGATAGTAAAAAAATGCTTGATAGAGTTACCTCCTCCTGTTTACAGGTTGGGGTCATGATGGTGAACAAGTGTGCAAAGTTTCAAAGCCATATGTCAATGGACTTTGAAAATATTTGAACTATTACAAAAACTTTAACATAAATTCTAAGTCGAAAAAGGGGCATAATTCTGTCAAAATGCTTGATAGAGTTACCTCCTCCTGTTTCCAGGTTGGGGTCATGATGGTGAACAAGTGTGTAAAGTTTCAAAGCCATATGTCAATGGACTTTGAAAATATTTGAACTATTACAAAAACTTTAACGTAAATTCTAAGTCGAAAAAGGGGCATAATTCTGTCAAAATGCTTGATAGAGTTACCTCCTCCTGTTTACAGGTTGGGGTCATGATGTTGAACAAGTGTGCAAAGTTTCAAAGCCATATGTCAATGGACTTTGAAAATATTTGAACTATTACAAAAACTTTAACATAAGTGGTTACGCCGACGCCGACGCTCGGGTGACTGCAATAGCTCTACTTATTCTTATCGAATAGTCGAGCTAAAAAGTTAGTACACAGATTCCTAGCAATATAGTTTAACAATCTATCCAGTAATTAGGAAGATCATATGCTATGTACAATTTGTGTATCCCTATTAACTAATTACCGACTAATTAGCCTTTGTCACAAGAATAGAGCCAGGTCAGCCTGCACATCTGTGCTGTCAGACCAGGCTCTATACCGTTTGTAGCTCAATTTTTGTATTTTGATATTGACATCCCTTAAAGTTAAAATGCACTATTCCAATTTCAAAGCAGGGCAAATCCATTTCACACATTCAGCGGGTAGGGGTTAATAAAATCTCACAGGATAAAATAATATATTCATAACTTAAGTCTTATATACAGTATATAAATACCTGATCTGCCTTCACATTTTCTACTGTAAAATTAAACCACACCCTAAACCTTGGATTACAGGTGTCTGGTCTGATAAAAAGGTCATACTCATATTCTGTGATGTAGTCAACCCTACCCAGGTTTCCTGTAACATTTAAATAGCCTTGATCATTCACACATGCAAGAAGTAAATAAATTTTCAAAATCAAACCTTAAGCCAGCTGGAGGCAACTGAAAATATCCATACACATAGTGCAGACCAAGATCAGCCGGCACACCAGTGCAGTCAGATCATGTTCCACTATTCGCTATGTTCGCTATTCAGTCAGTAGTTATTTTGAAATTTTCTCCAAATATAATAAATGGTTTTGTCCAGATTGAAAGATAGACATGTTGATTTAATAAATTTAGCATTTAAGTCTTAAGAAAACTATACGAAGACTTAAGGAAAGGTATATATTATCTCAAGCCATATAACCTTTAATTGATTTATGTAAAAAATATGACCAAAAATGAAAATTTCATAAAAAATTTCATGAAACTAGAGGTTAGATGCTTTTCAATTATGCAATAGTCATTAATTGTAACAGCTTGAAAATAAAATCTTGATTATTTCACTTTGAGATGTGCAGGGGTAGAAATTACAACTTAGAAATAACTGAAGCACGATGTGCAAGGTCTTTGGTATCTCTGGGGCATTAACATTTACATACCACATTCAAAGCAGGCATCAAAGATGAGATGGCCCTTCTTTGGTCTTCCTGTAAAACCTGGTGGAACAACAGCGAACTTGCTGACATTTCCAACGACTGGTTCATCAGTACTATCTGACTCACTCCCTGAAAATAACATCAGATTTCATTATTTAACCTAAAGGGACAAAGACTTGTCTTATGTACTTGCCATGAATTCTATTTTATGAATTTAGAACTCTCTATTATAAGTAATGTTTCTCAATTTCAGTAATTGAGCTATTCAGCAACTACCTATGGAATAAAAAATTGACATAAACTATGCAGATTGCAAAAATAGTATTTTAATGCCAAAAACAAATATTTACATACACTGAAAAGTATTCATCCCAAAACAATGTTTTGAAAACATTAAGAATTTCTTTAATTGTATTGCCAGCTATTGCTGTAGTTCAAACTGAGTTACGTAAATACGTAAAAAAGTGGGAAACTGGGAGTGAGTCTGCCCCCAACAAGCAAGTGTGCTAATATTGTTTATCTTTCAGGGGTCCTTAAACTAGATACAGTCCAACTTGTCTTAAGCAGCCAGTTAATGGATGCAGTCATTTTGGCTGCTTAAAACAGGTGACTGCTAAATGGAGGATAAAGTTATTATTCAAATAAATTATTTCTACATGAAAAAGAATAGATATTAACTGCAACATGATCATCGACCCCCACCTGGTCAAGATCAATAGATTACGATTTCTTATACTAGTCTCAATATTTAAAATGCATGTGGTCATGAAGTGCCACCATAGTCTACAAGGGCGTCAAAACTAATGACTCTGGGATAATAAAAAGCCCTGGCTCACAATTTGTTAGACTAATTACACATGCATAACCTGTGTATCACCTGAAAACGTGATGGCACTACGGTCTACCAACACATTTTGTCCAATATGTATGGCATGCACATTTTCTTAAAGGCACAAATAATTGAAAATGCACTAAATTACACGTAGATTTAGACTGTTAACAGATACGGTTTAACACTTGTAGAAAGTTCAGCAGTTCAGTGTAGACCTGTCATTCCCCGTCTAATGAAATCAATGCATTTGTGAATCTTACCAAAAACATTCACAAAATGTAAATATAATGATAAAAATACAAGATGGAATTATTAATGAACCTCTTAAATCGTTTAAAATGCTTCTAGGCAACAGTAAACAAACCTGAATCTGCTTTTTTGTCGGCCATGTTTGGTTCCCACATAAACATTGAACGGTTTACAGTATTTGATTATTTTGCGATCGCTCATTGGTTACAAATAAAAACCAGTCTATACGAACATTTTCGTTTGGTTTCCTAATAAATATGATAAACTGACCTAGACATACATATTTAATGTAAAAATATATAAAAAGCACCCGTTGTTACATGTTATTTGAGTAGTGGGAGCACTCATTCTTAAAAATATTATATTTGAAATCCGCGCCGTTTTAGCCAAATAACATGATAACTAGTTTATCATTGATCGACAAATAGAGTTCTTTTTCAGATAAGATTCATTCATTTTCAGCTCCAACTAATTTATGATTTGATAATAAAAATCTATTATGAGCATTAAATAAACTGAATGCTATAAACGTTAAATCGTATCTGTTCTATTTAACAAAAATATGAAGAAATATTACGCCGCGCTCAGCATCTCAAATTAGCATATTCATGAGTTGCTTTGATTCAGCTTACGATGTATTGATTTATTCCGGTAGCATTGTTGTTATCTAGTTTTATTATACCTTTCAATTGTTTTATTTCTGTCCCTCCTTAGTGCAATCTTGAGTCATTGATTTATTATCATTTTCCTTGTTTCAAAATTTTGTTACGTTCTCTTAGTATCTAACAGATTTGAAGCTGGAACACGCTGAACGGGCGGTTGATTATCAGTCGTACGCCATTTTCTTTGGTTCTATCCTTTCCTGAAAGTCTGCAACCCTTTTATTTTTGTTTAAAGCGATTAGTTTTTGGAATCTGAGGAATAATTCTGATCGAGGAAGTGGTAAGTTTCAAATGTGTGTTGTAAGGTGTTGTAGATTCTTCTTCATTCGAGTATGCCAATAAATATGCCTGTAAATAGTTGCTAAACGTCCCTTTGCAGACATGATCAGGTAGGGTCCCTTAGCAAAATTTTCCCAGAATTTAGAAAAAAATAAGGTCATTCGAGTTTTTATTGTCGCAAAGAAGCATTTAGATGACTTAAAGTGAATGTGATGACAGTCTTTATGTTAGTTTTGATATTATTCATTAATTTTAATAAGAATTTCCCAGTATTCTTGCTATTTATAGATCTACTAACATCAATCATGCCAAATCATGGGATACGAAAAACAAAAGATTTGGAATATTTTCTACAAATTTAAAACAATAATAAAATCATGGTTCTGGCGATGCCACAGATAAAGCTAACGTTTCTGCGGTTTAAATTTCTCACACTTATAAATCTGTTCTCGTTTGGAGAATCGTAACATATTCGTGACCTTACAGTATGGCAAGAAAAAAATATTTTTTGCAAAATTTCAGCTGGCGTGTCCATTTAGTCAATGTTCAAGTCATGTGTCTTAAATTAAGTTTAAAAAATATATTTGAAAGAACCTGCTGTACAAAACTGTATGATAAATATGACATAAAAAAAACTTGTTACAAAATATACCTCCGCCGATAGACTAGTAGATCTAGATCATGGAAGAAATTGTTAAATTATTTCTATTAAAAACTATTAATGCATCTGCAGACATTTAATAGCATTTATTTGTAAAGTAAAATTATCGGATTTCTACGTAGCAACACCTTTAATTTATTCGATTACACGGCATGTGTAAAGTAGCGCGTGCCACTTACCGTAACGGGACGTTTTGATTGGCTACTGTCGGCAGCTGGCAGCTACTGGGCCCTCCCACAAAAATATTGAGAGGTCATGAAGTAAACTCTTTTCATCACTTGTGCTGTAGACATTCAGTTAGGCAGTTTAGTTCCTATGATTTTAAGTTTTATTTCGCCGATTAAGGCAGTGGATACATCAACCGTTCAAAATTCTTCCCTTGAATAGCATCCCGGTTGTCTACCAGAATCCGTTTGCTCAAATGCAGGTCAGTTCCATTTTCTGTAATTTCAATATTCATGTGTTTTCTTAGTCTAGGTTGATAAAAGATTTATGCTGTCATCGGTGATTATTCTTTAGTAACAATTAAATCAGAGATGGTGATTTAAGATAAATATTTGGAAATTCGACGGAAAATGTCTGAAGTTATTAGAATTCAGATATCGTGGAATTATTTATTGGTAAATTCAGTATGAAGAACTTTTACACGGCTGGTGAATCATTTCTACACATCAGACATTGCAAACAGATGCTAATATTGCTGCTGACAGGCTAAAATGAATTACTTTATCATGTACAATCACATGTGTATTTAATTCTGTCAGTCTTTATGATAGTGGAATGGTGAAGCACTGGATTCCAGTATAGTGTCAAATGTTCTGTACAGTACTGACATGTACATTTATTAGATTCTACATTGATTCTTGTTATAATTGTTGGAAATCTACAGATGCTTAGGGTAAAACAGTTAAACTGAATTAAAAGTGTTAGTCAATATGGCTACACTTACCACAAGCACTGAAATTTCAAGCAAGAACTTCATCAAATATGTTTGAAATAAAAAGGATAATTATACAGAAACAACATTTGATTTTCCAATTACATGTATATATAAGCCCATGATCATTGAATAAAAAAAAATACAGTGCACATTTTATCAGTACCAATCCTCATCAGATTCATAAGAATGTACTTGTGTGCTGTATTATAACTATTAAATTTCAAGAAACAAGTATATACTTATGAAAATGGTATATTCAGAATTCTAGAAACAATGTATTTTGTTTAAATGGTTATATAAGGTATATATTGTACAATAAAACAATTTTTTCCACATTAAAGAATATTTAAAGAATTGGTGGTGTTAACAAAGGCTGAATAACTAACGTCATACATGACTTGAGGCACACGCCAGCTGTCTTTAGTTGAACGCTTCACTTAACATTCTTTTGTTAATTTCCATAGTAACCAATGGTTTTATTCAATATAGAAATGAGCATATTTCTACTTGGTGTTTTTAATCAATAAGTGAAAATAAGATCAAAGTTCTTAACATTAGGTTTGGAAATATTAATTTTAATAATATATAATATATTAATTTAAACAATCTAGATCATCATCATGTCATTTGCCAACCTTTTTAATTAGAGACAGAATGTTCATAAGGTCAATTTGACAATCAAAGAAACTTTTGCCACAGAGTTAATTTAATAATAAGTGGAAGAAATTTAAAGCTATATTGAAATATTAAAAAGTATAAAACATTTTTGATATTGTATTTAAATTTTAGATAATTAGGGTATTGCTGGTAAGATATAAGTAATTCTCATAGTTTAATAAGTTCTCCAAAGCTTGACTGTGGAATTATTTATTATCACCATTACTATCTGTTTAAAATGAATGTATTGTTTCCAATCAAACCAAAGGCTTTCAACAACTATCCATCTTTTAACATTGTTTTGACTAGCGGAATATTTTATGTACATAACATTTAAAAGAGATTGAGACCATCTGTTACTAGTTCTTTGTGTAGTAACCTGCCAGGCATAAAAGAAGCAAGCTGACACAAAGATTTTATCAATAATATGCGTTTAATCTTAGAATCAACTCACTGAATCATAGATATTTTGTATATGTAGAGTTTTACATTGAGTGTTGAAGATTGCATATATAAAAGGGGTAACAGATGTGAAAGTAATTAAAACTTGAGAAATCTTGTGTGTAGCATCCCAGATTTCAAGCGAACTTACACAAATTTTAGACATTATCTTGAAATGTAAGAGAGTTACCAGTCTCTGTTTTATAGTTTTAATCCTATAAGATCTTTGGTATAGTATGTGTTTGTGCGAAAGAAAAACAAACAAAAAACTATAGATATGTATGAAAGTTTTTCATTCATAGATAAGAGAACCCAAAATCTTAACAGCAATGCTGATTCCTTTACTTTCATTTTCAGACAAAAATTACAAAATGATGTCCTATAAAAAGGTATGGTTTCTTAGGTTTTGTTGAGTTGTTTTTGTATTATATGCAGCATTTTATTAAAGATGCAAATTTTTATAAGTTTGTTATTGTCCTTGTTTGCTTTATGATTAATTTTCGTTTTTCAGTTCAGATATTTGGTAGCCAGTCAGTTTCCAAGTGATAAAAGTCATGAAAATAATAACCACCTAAAAAAAGGAATTTCTTAAATAATTTTCTTTTTGTTTTTTGAAACTGAGAATGGAAATTGTTTTAAAAGACCAATAAAAACAAAACTAGAATTAAAAAGAATAATGCTTCGGAAAAAAGTGAATTTAATTGAGTGTGAAAATTAATTTGTTATGATATTAAATCCAAGAAAGGAAGAAAGTGAAATAATAACAGGAGATAATTTTTTTTATTATTTATTTTTCTACAGCTTTTACACCATTTTTCAACATTATTTGATCATTTTATTTTTTATAGTTTTTAGTTCAGAATTTCATTTGTATATTTTTTCTTTTACAAAAAAATGTTATGTACTTATAATGTTGTTTTTACAATTTAACTGGGGTCACAAAAGAAGAAATACTTGTTTCCCTATTTTGTTTCACACATTCATGTAGAAAAAAGAACTGAACTGAAATGTTTTAATTTTTTTTTACTATAAAAGAAACAAGTTTAAACCACAGTCAGAATAGCATCAGTAACTAAGCTTGGTAAAAGTCTAAAAGTAGTTAATAATTGGGCTATTGCATTGCATGGGTTTTGTAAGGCAATTCCACTCAAACTTGCTGCAAGTCAAAAGGTTTACAAAAGAATATTGAAATATTTGCTTACTTAAAATTCCATGACATAAAAAGTAAGGGAAACAAATATTTTACTCCTATTTTTTGACCTTGTTTTTTTCATATGATTATGATAATTTTCAGTTTTGTAACATTTTGTTTCGTTGTTATTCTGTTGTATATTTTTTAAATTTGGTAATGCATCTTATGTACTGAAAATAAAAAAGCAAAATGCTGGCAAGATGTCGTTATTTTATTTATGTGTCAATGGTCTTAACACAATTTTTGTAATATTGTTGGAATATTTAAGTACAAAAAGTTAATTTGTTTTTTATATGAAGTGACATCATTCCTGGAATGGAAAGGAATATAAAAATATGAATGTTAACTTATATGGTTAAAAAAAACAAAGAGATCTGTTGTTTATAAGCCAAAAAAAAAATGGAACTGCTGAATTAAACAGTTCTATATTTCTTTTAATTCCATCTATAAATGAAGAAATGGCATTTTGTGGAAGACTGAACTTTACTGCCAACAGCCAAATTTTAAGATTGATGTAAGATAAATTACATAATTTTTATGAACTTCAAACTTTAATGAGTTTGACTGTGGAATATTTTATAAATATATGTAACAAATTGTTTTTGAAATCATATTCTTGAAAATGGATATTAGTTTCAATAAAATTCTGAAGAAAAAAAAGCAAGAATTAAAACTTTTGATGGCTTTTCTGGGAGATCATTATCATCATTATGATTGGAATTACTAATTATCTCGACCCCAGCAAATGTTGGAATTGTCCTAGCAGATATAGATTGGTATTGAGCTGGTGAATAGGTTTGATTTATCAATGTACTGAGATAATTGTGAACAATAGTTACATGTATAATAATTACTTCTGATTAAACTAACAAGATGATTTCCATTAGAACAAAAGTTCTAGATTTGCTATGTTAATCAAATGTGCTGATGTTTAATGCTATACGTTTTTTTAATTTATGTTAAGATCGAAAGGTTTCACAGGCAGATAGACTTTCTACACAAATTTTTGGTATATCTTAAAAGTAGAAATATATACCGGTATGTCACAAAGGGAAAATGTATTTAGGCCAAGTTTTTTCCTTCTTCTTTCCTGCCATTATGTGTATCAATATGCTATGTGAGGCAATTACCTGAAAGAAAATTCTGCTAATACATCATTCAGTAGATATGTTCCTCATTTTGATGGTGAAGTTGTGTAAACAGACATGTGTATCTTGTGAGAGCTTATCAGTTGTAAAAGATAGTCTAGACTATCTAACTCACAGATCAGATCTTTCTAGATCTGACCTGTATCCGAAATATTTATCTTTACACAGTAAACTTGGTGTATGGAAGTTTTTAAGATGTTAAATGGGATGATCTGCTATGCTTCTTAATGATAATATTTTGATATGTGTGTGGAAATAATTGATGAATAGTGAACACATTTGTAGTGCTATATAATTAGTAAGATTTATATGTGAGGGGAAAATGTTTACAGATATTAAAAGAGAGCCTGGAAGATTTCATATTTCTAACTTGCCATTCTAGATAAAGATCAACATCCTTCACGATTTTTTTTTAAAGTCAAATTTTTTTTTGTTGGGTTGTTTTTTGTTGTTTTTTTCTGAATAAAAAATGTGAAAACCTACAGGGGTTCGCAGATGACTTCTTTAAAAGAGACAGAAGTTTCTTTAGTTCATGTGTATAAAAGCATATATTTGTTTGCTATTGTTATACATTAGGGATGTCTCTATTTGCAGATAACACAACCACTGGAGTTATCTCCAATGGATCACGCGGTCCTTCATCACTGTTGATGTTCGCGGATACCATTGATAGGTTGGCCCAAAACGAGGCCGAGCACTTGCTCCTAGTCTACGTTTGGGATATAAATCTGCATTGCTAATGAGAAAGGAACAAATGAAAATGAGGTGAAAGTCAAGTTCTTATAATACAATTTATTTAAAGTGAATAGAAAATCATTTTCAAGCAGAGCAAAAAAACTTAAGAGAGAATTGACCAATTATCGGGGAAAAAGTGTTTCGTCCCAGGGACTCAACAGCCCTTTTTTTCTTTCCTCCCTGGCAATTTTAGCGAGTAAATTGATATGTTTACTCAGTAAACGCGAACACTGTTATACATTAGGGATGTCTCTATTTGCAGATAACACAACCACTGGAGTTATCTCCAATGGATCACGCGGTCCTTCATCACCAGCATGCCTCACAGCTCCATCAGAATGGTGGTACCACGTCACCTGCATCGACAGAATCGCAAACGGATGATTGCTCCAAGACAAACCTAATTGTAAACTACCTTCCACAAACAATGACCCAGGAAGAAATAAAGGCGCTGTTCTCAAGTATTGGCGAGGTAGAGAGTTGTAAACTCATCCGAGACAAACCCACAGGTACCAAATTTTAAGTCAAGATTTTTTTTGTGTGGTTCATTGCAAGGGGCTTGGTGTGAAACTGTATTTTAATTTGACTGTACCATTTCAGTAGGAAGCTTTTGTTTTGTTTAGTTGAAGTTAAATTGAATTCTTCAATTATATGTACTCATCATTTTAATTAAGTTGAATTAAGTTTAAAAGCAAAGGTAATTTAAATTAAAGGCAGTATCACAAAGAAGTTGGAGTCATAAAAAAGGGAGAACAGGGAGAAAAATGTTACAAACTTAGTTCCACTGACTGTTCACATCTTCAGACATTGGTCTAACAGAATGTATCATTACTGGTAAATCAATGAATTTGCATTCTCAATGATATATTCTACAAAATCTGAAAATGGGATATATGTCCAGTAATGTGGCATTTTCTTCTATGGGTCTGTAATCATTGGCATTCTATGTCTTACTTAATTTAAATGGCATGCAAATTAAAGAGTAGTTCAAGTAGAGATTCCAGCTTTGAAAACAGCTCTTATGAAGAGTATCGATTATACATGAATGATCTAACAATTTTTGTAGAGAAGTTCAATAAACTTGTCTTGGCTGAAGTTTGATTACACTGTATGCCAAATAAAGAATGATGTATCAGTTTTACTGTACACAATCCTAGGCAAGTGATCACCCATTGCTTGTGAAATGATCCCAACAATTCTCGAGAGATCACAAAAAAGTGATGTACAATTCAATATTGATTTTCTACTGAGCTTTTAAAGAAATGTTTTATCTTGTCCAGAAGAGATGAGGAGCCGATATACAAATAGAAAATGTCAGTCACTGTCTCCCAAAAACGTTGTTTATTAGATGGATTATTTATTCAGGAGGTGCGGAAATCTTGCAAAATATTTGGAAAAGAGAAAAATATTATTTGACAATGGCTGGCGGTATATGTCCCTCACTAGAACCGATAATTACCTTTTTGAGCTGTTTTCAGCGATTTATCAATAAATGACAGGTTAATAATACCAACACTATCAGATAAAACTGAAGAAATTATAGATTGGATAAAAGACATTGTGTAATTTCAGCTAGATGTGGGAACATTTAATAGTTTTCTATTCATCTTTTCTCCCATAAATGTCTGAAAGAGTGACATCCATTTATTGCTGAAGTCCTATATTGCTGAAGCAAGTAACACTTTTATAGATCTACTGTTTTTGGTATCATTTAAGGTTGGGGCCAAATAATGAAAAAAGTTTATGGAATTGTACTAAGAGTTTTTCATGTTTTATTTTTAAAAAAGCTAATATAGGTCTATTTTTGATTTGGCACCTGAATTTGGGTCATACAGGGCAGCATTTGTCTGGGTCAGATAGGGTCAGTTAGTTCATTAAGTCTATAATTAGATCATTGCATCATATGAAAGATGTGACACCTGTCAATCAAACATGAGGAAAACATATTGGCACATTTTAAAACAATGGCTTTTCCTGCCAAAAAAAAATCTGACTTGGTTACTTGAATTACTTACAATATTTCAATGTTTTGTTCCCAGTCACCTTTTGTAAATGAAGCTGAACTTTAAAATAATTGAGTTTGATAATTCAGTATTGTTCTTTTAAATAATTATAGTAATAACAAAAAAACCTTTAAAGATGAATTAATTATTTATGTATAAATACATTTAATATTCCACTTGGTTTGATATTAGTTCTAATAAAAGTTCTAAAATATTTTCAGTTTGATAATTTTGGCAGTTTATAGAACAATTTTCTGTAACTTTAAACCATGTATGTTAAATTGAAAACAACAATGAACATGTAATCTAAATAATTAGAAGCAAGAAAACTGCAACACAAAAAGGTGATGGATAGTGATGCTACTCTGTTATAAATGATAGATAAGTAATAAAAAGATCAACCATCTGTTCGGCCATATGTGAAGTGTTTTGAAGTTGTTAATTAAGTCACCAGATGTATTGATTTTTTATCCTATTTGAAAATCAATAGCATATTGGAATGAAGTGACAGATGTGCTAGAAATGTCTCATAATTTATATGGATGAAAAGATTAAGGAAGCAGTATATTTATCTAATGAATTTCAGAAGAAAGACTCTTAACAGGTGAAAATCGATCTTAGGATAGACTTGGCCTTTTAATCTGGACAAAATCTTATTTAGAATCAAATATGCAAGTATTGACAGGGTAATATAACATCTATATAGCAGATAATAAATTGTCAAAACAAAATATTGTTTTTCATATAAAGAATGTTCATACTCAATGACTTTAGTGGAAATCCAACAAAAATGTATTTAACCAATTAAAACTTGCTAATTACTAGTTAGATTAGTTCAGTCTAAAACTAATTCTCTGACTGTAGGTAATGTCAATAAGTCTGCTTTGTAATTCTGTTTGGCATTGTCTAAGGCAAAATGATACAAGTGTTTGTACAATGTGTAAAGATTTGTGCTAGGGTTTATGACTTGGTTTAGGCACACATGGTAGATACATTTGTTGTGAACATTGACTGTTGAGTGACACAGCACTGAAGGCATATATATACCAGTAGTCCACATTCATTTCTAACTGTGTTGTAAGGTGCCTGCAGGCCTGAAGCACAATCATACAGATTGTTTTCTTGGTAGGCAAGCCAAAAATGTTTTGCCTGAAAAAAAAAGCAAAATATGTGAAACAATGTGGGCTAGGGAATTGACAAGTTTGGCAAATAATTACATTGGTGAAAAATTAAATGTTTGTCTGGAGGCGATTTTTTCTATAGACACACCACTGCTGAAGCCGAGAACAGGTTTAGAACCTACAATACCTTTCTGTTCTTCTTGTTTTCTATTTCATTAATCTAAGTGAAGTCTGGACATAGTGAATGCCAAGTCTTTATGAACATACTGTGTGAGCGGTTGAGCAATTCTGTTGGCCTGCCAGTGAAATTGAACTCTTCGCATCTCATATATCTCCATTATACTCCCTTCTTGCCAATATCCATTAGTATTAATATAATATTGATGAAACATTTCATAATTTTAAAAATATTTGCATAAAGCTGAAATTTTTATAAAAAGATGAGGGAAAAATGGGTGCATATTATATGCTCATGCATTATATATTGATAAAGGGCCAACACTAGTAAGGGTATCATCATATGATACGAAAGAACATTAAGATTATGCTTTAATATAATTTTTTATGTTTTGTATATTTTAGGACAGTCGTTAGGATATGGTTTTGTAAACTACAAGAATCCAACGGATGCAGACAAAGCTATCAATACACTGAATGGTTTACGGCTTCAGAACAAAACTATCAAGGTATGTTGTGCCTGTCACCATTTAGTTGGCTTCTGTCAACTCATCAAGGCTACTTTATGCATATGTTATTACTAAATGTTGAAATTATTAAAGTAAACACTGGTTGTAATGCGTAAAATGTATTGTTCGTGAAACTTTTCATTTAATACAAAAAAATGACAATTTGAATTGACAAAACAAAACATGTGTCCTGGTTAACTTTATTCCTCCCATGGTAAAATTAAAACATTTAAATTAATTGATTCACCCTTATGCTTGTGAGAAGAATTGTAAAATTTTATTGATCAGTTACATGGTTTTTTGTCAGTGAGACAAAGTTCTCCTTATTATGTAAAACAAGAGCACAGAAAAACCTCTGCAAGTGTCTCGAGTATTGACCGGTTTGAAGATGATATTTGCATATAGATAGCCTGATCTTCAGGATATTTTCCAATCCTTTAGCAAAAGTGCTCCCTCTATTGCATTTCAACATTGTAAATTTCCTTCAGAATGCCTTTACAGTCCTGGAAATTTTTTTTAGATGGAAACAAATTGTATTCACACACAAAAATTTCAACTGCATTATAACCAGGTTTTAGATGAAACAACAGAATAGTTTTGTATCATTGGAGCTTACTTTTAAGGCAATATTTTAAAATATTATTTTTAACAAAAATGGCAGGGATTGCATATAATAGAAAAAAAGCCTTGATGAAAGTTGACATAATATCTTTCTTTACATTACTAATTCCATATTTTTACTAATTTGCAATTTGTTAAAGATATCATTTACCTTTGTACTCTCGTTTAAGTTTGAATGCTGTTTCACAACAAGTTCTAGAATTAAAGTGCATACTTTACAAATAGATATTTGTTTAAGGCATTGGGACACCTTTGTTTGTTTGTGTTTTTTTTTCATGCTCTGTTTTTTGTTTCATACACATCAAATAGCTTAATTTTGATTTATTTGGAATTTGCATTAAAAGTAGTTAAGTCCAGTCTTTCTGTTGAAAGCACATTACAGGGAAAGTCTTTAATTTGGCATATCTTGGTTTTTATGGTACTTTTGTTTGTTAGTTATCTTTCTCTTTTTTTCCTTCTTTTTTTTTTTATCTGAAATTCATACAAAAAATACTACTACTTGAGATATATCATCGATAATTAGATTGGTTCTTTTATTTTAATGTTAAATTTTCTTCCCCAAAAAAATATTTTCATTAAAAAAGGTGTCCTGAAGCCTTAAAGCTTTCTTCATATAGGTTTTATGACAATTTTTGATTGTATTATTTGGGAATTGGGTTCACTTTTAGAATGTTGTAGAAAAAAACTAAATTTTGAATGTGTGATTTATTTCTTGTTATTGACATGAATAAGGTCTTTTGGTTCAAGTCTTGTAATAATTATTGCAATGACACTTTTTTCATTTTAACCCAGAAGTTTTATTTCGATATTTTTGGACATTTTTTACTCCTTTGGTTTTTTATTTGTATCATTATTTGCAGTCGTTTTTTTGTTAGACAAATTTATGTTTCCTTTTTATTTGCCCGAAAACTTTGAATGTAATTAATGTAACACCCGGTTACATGTCCTATGTGACTTAGTGACAGTTTCTGTATAGAACTTGTGTAGCAACAGTTGACGCGTTTTGTGTATCTCCATGTTTAAAGTGTTGATGTGCTAGTTGTGTTTCTTGAAAATAACTCTTAGTATATAGGAAACGAAACAAGTTTGTGGATATAATGTGCGCTATTACTAAAGGCGTCATCACCACGGTAACTGGACAGGAATCTGCTGTAATCAGGTTTGGATTTATAAACTGAACATTTCCATCATATCATTAAGGATTTACAGGGACATCATTCAAATAGTTACAGGGAGTGACAATGAGTTATTTAGTGAATAGAACTGAACTTTCCGAGGATGGCATGTGGACTAGTACACACATAAAGGCCTAACATATCATAATTTCTCCTATTTTCCATCTTTATTTCTGCTTTCTTTTATTTTTTGTTATGTAAAATAACCACCTTAAGTTTATTTCTTTTTTAATCCAAAAACTCTCTCCTTCACTTTGTTGCTATTTTTTAGATTATTTTTATTTCCATTGAATTATTTTAAATTCGGGAGGAACCACGTGTGCAGTTACTACCATGATTATTTCTTTTTCCAATTATTTATTGATTTTTTAACCTCGAAGAATTTTATAATTTCAAGTTTTCAGTTATCTAATTGGTTTGATTTTGTTTAGTTTTTTGTACAGCCTGATGATTTCATTTATTTCAGGTCTCGTTGGCTCGACCCAGTTGTGAGTCTATAAAGGGAGCAAACCTATATATCAGTGGTTTGCCAAAATCCCTTACTCAGCTGGATTTAGAAAAACTTTTCTCGAGTTGCGGACAAATCATTACTTCCAGAATTCTATATGACCAAAATACAGGTATAACAACATTACAGCCTTTTGGTATGGTACAAGATAATACCCCACCCTGCCCAAAACTACTAAAAGTCACTGTTAGGGAAGTAGGGTTAGGCCAAATAAATATTAAAGAAATCTAATTATGCAAAATATCATTTTTAGGTGTCAATTGCACGGCCCAGTTGCGAAGGTATAAAAGGTGCAAATTTATACATTTGTGGCCTACCTAAGTGTCTTGCGCAACCAGACCTTGAGAAAATCTTCTCCTTCTGTGGACGGATAATCACGTCTCGAATTTTATACGATAGCAATACAGGTTAGATACGTTCACCGTTCGACGTTCAATTTCTACATTTCAGTCGCAGAATTTTTAGTGTTCGTGTTACTCAATTTTAAAGTTTAACGTTGCCTATATATACAATCACTGCCTTTAGCATCCAGTTGAGTTCTTTGTGCTCTTGTTTACACAGATGTTTGCATGCAGGTTATATTCTTAGAGTTGCAAGTTATCCCCCTTGGAAGGTCATGGGCAGAGTTGTCTTTTTCTATATTGTCTAATTTCTCCGTATATTTATGATTCTTTTAATTTTGTTGTTGTTTTGTGTTAAGTTTTGATTGGTTACATTTCTATTAATCATATTAGTTTTTTTTTCAACTGCTTCTAACATTGTTGTGGTAACATTTGAATTTTTATAAGATTTGTACTTTTTCATATTTCTATGTCATTTTATATTATAAAGTTAGTACCTATATTATTTTAAAATCTTTTTCAAATATTGTATGAGGTGACCATAATTTATTTTAATAACAAAAAAATATTCAACCTTTTAAAGATTATGTAAATGTATGAGAAAAACAGACACAGTGGAAATCAAATGAATCATATTTATTTGCTCTTTGCAAAAAGATGACATCGTATAATGGTTGTAGGCAATTAGCAATTTGTAAACATTGGCCGAGTGCTCATTGATGCAATCCTTGTAATTAGCAATTGTACTGTTTCCCAGCATTACATTAATGGAAGGATACCTCCGCATGCCATGTTTTGCCTGTTAAGACATCCATGAATTCAAAGACAAAGAAATTGTCGCCCTTGGCTTTATGTATAAATCCAAGCCAGCTTGTACTTCGAAACAGTCTGACTAGACTCAATACTGTTGGGTTTTAAAATTTATAAGTTTGATCTTTAAACTTCCTGAAATCAACTTTACTTGATATACTGACAGACAAAGCCAGTGCTGCATATTTAGCTGGAAAAGACGTCATAAATAAAGCTGATGTGTATCTAGATTTACATAGAAAAGTGATTTACTGTGTATCATTTGAATTAGCTACAGATATATTTTATATAGTTGTCAATGTGATAGAGGCTTCAAATTATTAGTAAACAAGTCTGGAATGATTCTCTTCTCTGTGTCTATTTTTCCTCATGAATATGAATAAGCTTCTGATAGCTTCAAAGATTTAAATAACAACAAATTATGCTCTCCTCATACATTGCTTTTAATAAGAAATGATTCAAATTACCGTAATTAAGTAAAAATTAGGGAGAACAAAAAACAAACTTGTATATTAAAAATGAATGAACAAGTACAGTCAACTTCCAAACAGATTCAGCTTTGGCTTATTTCAAAATCTGATGAAAAATTTCATAAAGTTGAAAATTTAATGTCTTTTGAAAGAAGAAAAAAAAAATCACAATATATACAATTGTAGAGCAATAAATAAGGCTGTTTTTGTTTTGAGATTTGGCTGTATCATTTTGTAATTGTTATAACATGTGCAAGAAGACATCCTCAATGATTTATAATTGTAAGTTTTGAAAAGAGTTAAATCAAAGAAAATTACAGATCAGAAGATAAATAATAGGTACAAACATCACTGAATGCAGGTAGGTGGAAAATTAATTAATCTCAATAGTTTAATTTAACTCTTGCCCTGCTGGAAAACAAAAGTGATTAGCCTTTGTCACCAGTGTAGAGCCAGGCCAGCATGCACATCTGTTCTCTATACTTTGGACTGACTGAGTTATTGATATCCCAAAAATTGAGACTGGACACTTTTAAGAATGGGAGCTGGACATAGGTCAATCCTTTTCAAGAAATTCAGCAGGTTAACGGTTAGACAGACTTTTGCTCTCTTGTATAAATAAACCACACTATATCTTGTTCCCTTACTTCACCTTCAGTTCTTATGTTTCTAGGTCTGTTGGTGTGACCTTTGTTGTTGATTTGGACATTCATCATTAATAACACTGTCCTGCTAAATCTGTAAAAGTTTAGGAAAGGTTTAAAATAAAATTTGGGTGGAAAAACATGCAAACAAACTTTCAACAGTGTTGTTCCTTGAGGAGAATTATATAGTACATTTATGTTGTGATAATGATAGAAGTTAACGTATCTATAGATGTATTTTACAGCTGTATTGTAGCTAAAGTAATACCGACCATATGGGAAACTCATCATATATACCCACAGGATTCAAACAACCACATTCCATGTTATATTTTGGCATTCTTCTAGGCTTTTTAACATATATTTTAGAAGCTCGTTTTCAAAATAACGACTTTAAGCTCGGAAATGGAATTGCACTCTTGTGTGAAAATGATGTACGAGACAGACATAAAGAAAAGTTGTGTTTGCCAAATCAAGTGCTAAATCTCCCTTAATGACTTAGTATGAGTTTTATATCGACAGCTTTTTAAAAAAACAACAACAACAAAACTTTTTATTAAAGCTTCATTATTTTTTTTTTCTGGGGAAAAAAACCAACAGAAATGAAAAATTCTAGTTTTTAAAGACAAAGTGGAAATAAGATTTGATAAATATTTAGTGGCAAGTTATCATGTTATCTTTAAAACAGAAAAAAGATAAGTTCAAACAATAAAACTTTAACTTAAAATCAGTGCAACTCTGAGTGCAAGATTTATTGCACAGATAAACAGTCGGTATATGTATTTTTCTGTAATCTATCCAATAATGTTTTGCTTCATTATTAAAGTGCCAAGCTATAAAATATAGAAAAAATAAGAAAAAGAAGAAGAAAAAAAACAAGATGCACATTTATCTTTGGCATTAACTATATTGATGATTTCTCAGTTCATTTACTTGTATTCCATATGTCAGAATGCCTAGAAACACGCATAAAGCACAGCATTCAATTATTATGTACAATAAGAATGGGAAAAAAAGAAATTTATACTTGGTAAAATCTTTGTGTGCCAATTTCTATTTTAAGGGTATTAAAGATATAAGTTAGACTTTGTCAGCCACTGGCATACCAATGCTTGAAATGAAGTAATTTATCTTTCCGCAAATAAATCATTCCAATGTAATGTTTTAACAGTTCCTCATACTGTATTCTTTTGAAGTCTAGTTCTATTAACTTCTGTAATGTATTGATTCATCTTAAATTCTAGACACACTGATATAGTATGCAGTAATTTTGTTTCTATATTTAAAACCGTTTCAAACACTGTTTTTTACTTGACTTTTATCTCATTTTGTGCAAGCCCGATTTACTACTACCATTTCAGTACAATGCTACCCTATAAACTATCCTGTTAAAGTATTAATTACCTGCAAACCTGTCCCATTTGGCATTTTGTATTATTTTTTTTCTACCATGGACAGCTGTCCATATACATGAATTCTATCAATAATGTGCCATTGTTTACTTTCACCTTAACACCAGCTTACTGTTAAACCAATTAGGCAAAGAATACAAAGAGAGAACTAATATCGATATATGGGATGTTTGAATTGGAACCCCCGCTATTGATACATCAAGTGAAGCTCGTGTTCATTGTGTATTAGGGGTTTAGCAAATATTTGGATAGCCTAACTGTGGGCGATAATAGTTCCATTGTTGGGTTAATATTTATCAATAATTTATAAAACATTGTTTTCAGTGCCTCCAGATGGCAAGTTCCCAGTCTCCATAGATACATAAGTAATTAATGTGCAACATGTATGTGTATAATAGCTTACCGGAGCAATGAAGTTAATGAAGTTATTACAAATGGCTGTTAAATTATTTTTGAAAAAGTCCCAGGTAAAGCTGCACCGCTTAATTAATTCCTATGATGATGAGGTGAAATGTAGTCTGCCAAAAATCAAATCCTTGTTGAAAGTTAGATTTTCTCTTTGCTGTTGTTTTCACACATTGGCTTGGGTTTTTGTTTAAGTTACGAAAGTGAACATCACACATGGTTTATTTACTTTTTAGGTCTGCTAGGAATTGTCTGATCCTTGTCTTAGAGTTATGTACAGTAATGAACTTTCTTTGCTGTATACTTTGATCATTTCAGTGTAGAAATGTGATTATAAAACGGTCTTACTTATAGCTGCCTGTCTTGTAAATAAGTTCTGTCTTGTTAATTTAATAATAAGTTTTGTCTTATAAATAAGTTTTGTTGAATAATATTGATTTTGAATTAAAACAATATAGACTAATTGTCATTATATGGTGTTTAAAAAAACATGGATGCATGGTACATGAAATAAGGTTGGGGTGTTATACTAGAAATTCTTCATAATAACATGAATTTATTGTACTGTAACAATAATTACCCTATCAAAGAAATATTTATTTGGGTTGTTCTCGAAATTTCATCATTTTATTTTTAAACAGTGGAGACAGTTAAAGTTTCAGTAGTCATTGTCCGCACAGGTTCCATGCTGTTCGCTTACAGACCCTATAACAAGTAAAGAAAATGATAGCGAACAGCATGGATCCTGATCAGACTGCGCGGATGCGCAGGCTGGTCTGGATCCATGCTGGTCGCAAACCCATTATGTTGGTTTTGTCGTGACGTGGCTCATTTGTTGTCATAATGAGTTGTCAATTTTATCATAGTTGAAATTTAAATTTTTAGGTCAGTCTTTCTGAAGTGCTTTTTATTTCTGGTGAAAAACTGAAATCAGAAGAAAATATTATTTATGACCATAGCTTTCGTTGTAAAGTTCTAATATTATTTACAGTACTATAGTGTCAGGTAGATGTCAGATGTGTTGCCTGATTGAAGAAGTAATGTCAGAGTGATACAAATAGTTGTGTATGATCATAAATCAGTATAGGCTTGTAGCTATTAACTCTATCTGCTATTAATTGCTTCTACATGGCATAGGCACACGAATATATGAGAGAACAAAATAACTAGCGTAAGAACAACAACATTAAACAAGTTTTGGCAGGTACTGTTTGGGGAAATGTTATGAAGCAACAGACAGTTTTCATAAAATATACAATTATCGACAGTTATCCAAGGTACCTATTGTTCGCTCATAAAGTTAATTAAAAAAGTTCCCGATGGCT